AGGCACCGAAAGTGTGCTGCAGCTGAACGCTCAGCTTGATTTCGGTTGAAGTCCACCGTATTACCTATGTTCGGATAATTTTTACTCACGTAAATTGTGTAATTTGTGTTTTGTGTCAAAACTCTGTAGTTGAGACAACCAGCGTGCAATGCGTGATTGTTTTGTGTAGGCAACTGTTGTTTTCTGCACTCTAGGCAACAAGACGCACGCCACCTGTTACATTGTTTTTCCCTTTTTTAGGAGATCTTTTCATGATTTTTCTTGTTTGTGGTTGAGTTCAAAAGCGTGAGACATGAATTCTTCCGCTTTTTTTGTGGTTGTTACCTCATGCTTGGTTACGTTCACCGGTGTGTCTGGTTCATCTTTGGACTCCCTTTCTGGATCTCTGGATCCTTTGTTGTGGTAGTATTATTTAGTTTTCCTGTGTGTTGCGATCTGAGAACGTGTATGCTTTACCTTAGCTACTGTGTGAGTGATAGAATTTGGTCCACTCTAATAATAGTCGCTTGTAGGCAAGCAACGCTTTCGAGTTGTGGGAAGGCAAACTTGCGACAAACACTCGCCAGGGACGAGTCAGTAGCCCCTCGTGCACTCTGCTTAGGTTGTACCTCCCCGCATTATCATCATCATCGACAGGTTTGTAAAGAAAAGAGTAATGGTGGACGAGGAAGGGTCTTTGTGCTAGCTTAGCACGATCATTCCCCGCATACTTTGGTTCTGTCTGTCATTCGTGATCAATAAAGCATTTTCCTTGCCCCTCGAACGCTGCTATCGTTACCGAAGTTATGCAGTCCTTTTTTCAGCTTCCGGACTGCGACCTGTCTTTCGTGGAATATCATTTTAGAGCACAACCCCGTCTTTTTCAGCTTCCGGACTGCGACCTGTCTTTTGTAGAATATTGTTTTAGACCACAACATCGTCACACATCTTTTAAGCCAGTTCTTGTTTGTCACTGGCCCAGCCGAACAATCCGTTTTGAAAGTTCCTTCTTAATAGCATCTCGTTTGATGGCCTCTCGAATCCTTGTCAT